TGCTGGGCGATGCCCCCAGGATGGAGCGCGAGGCCACCGGCAACGAAGGGACCAAGGACCGGCCAACGGACGTGCAGGGCAGTTGCGGGCAGGCATGGAAGACGGAAGGCGAGCACGATGCGCTTGACTGGGGGGGGGTGACCCAGGAGCCGCAGCAGCCCAGACCCTGTCGCCGACGAGGACGAGGAAGCAGACCCCCATCGACCCCCCAGGAGCATTCACGGGAACACCTCCAAGCAGCAAGCACTGGACGCCCTATTCACAGACCGTCGACCAAGTTGCAGCCTTGGAGCTCCCGCGTAGACGGCACTGGAAGGGGCAGCGCATCGTCTTGGGAGCGCGCGGGAGCCAGGGTGGACCGCGCGCCCAATTCCACCCCATGGTACCAAGAACGCGACCGCCCTGCCTCTTCAGACGCCGGAGACGGGAGAGGACCAGCCGCCAAGTCCCCAAGGGGGAACCCCATGCGCACGGAGGCTCGCAGGGAGCCCTGGAAGGACAGCAGGGGTGCCCAGCCGTATTACGAGGGCCTTAACGACTCTAAGGGCGGCGGTCTCATGTACAGATGCACTATAGCAGCCGCGGACGTGGAAAATGACGAGCCCATCCAGGACAACATCGCACGCCTGCAAAAGACATTGGGAGGCACCCTCAACGCTATTTGGCACGCGTGGGTTAAGCTGGCTGCCCAGAGTCAGGACCTCAAGGGAGGCTATAAGAGCAACCCCCGGCTCGACACACCCGCGACGTGCGCGGATTTCTTGGAAGTATGGGCCAATGCTGGATACAACGCATATCGGATGGATCGTGAGCTCAGACTCTGCGTAGACTGGGTCGAAGTTCGGCGCGGGCACGTGAATTCCCCCGTGCCACGCGACGCTCCCGCACACGCCCCACGCGTGCACGGCAGCCGCGACACGCCAGCTCCCTGGACTGCCGAGAACCGCACGGTTGCGCGTGCAGCGGCTCAGGACCCCTTGGGCAGGAGCCATTGGAACTGCCGCCCCCAGCCACTGGCGGGGCTGGCAGGAATGGTCCTCGTGGGAGCGGCGAGATACCCCATGGGCGGACTCCGACTGGAAAGGCGGGGGCAAACGATACCCTCCACGAGGGGGCGACCGCGACTCCGAAACGCGGGCCCGCTGGTGGGCCAAGAGCGACTCCAACACCCAAGGTTGACGTGCTCCCGCCACGGCGCACCTCAGTTTACCAACACCCAGGTACAGGCATCAGCCCAGAGAGGACCCATGGTCCCCCCACCTCCAGCTACCCGTGGCCCTGAAGGGGCTTTCTTCACCTCGCTGCGCCCGGCTCAAGCCGCAATGCCCGGGGCCACCCTCCGCTGGGGCGAAGGCTCACCCCCACATTTCACACATGGCGCAGCATAGCTAGACAGCCTTCGCTGGATAAGTGGACCACCCGCCACCTTTTCGGGCCCGCCGCTGGGGCATCCCCCGCATGCACCCGAGACCTCACCCTCACATGCCCTGCGGTGCCACGCCTGGCTCACGCCGGCAGAACCCCCAGGCACCCAGACTTTGCTGTCCGATGACGACAGCCTCCCCGCGGTGCCCTGGGCTGGAGGTGGGCCCCAGCATCCCCCCCTCCTGCCTGGTTGCTGGCTCGACCTGGCTGGGTCTGCGTTTTGTCGCACCGCAGGCGCCAGATCACACGCACCGTGCTCCTGGGGCATGACGGCCGCGCGGCCAGGAAGACAGCCCCAGGCCGCTGCTGCCGCACGCCCCAGTGGAGCGTTGAGGCAGCGGACCGCGGCTGACCGCCCGCGCCGCCGAAAGTTCGGACCCCGGGCGCGACCCTCCCTGGGCCCCCCCCCCCCGTCGTTCTCCCCGGCCCATTGCGGCCTCGCCCTGGGGTCCGACCCGTTCTCCTCTCTACACATCAGCAGCGGTTAGCTGCGACCCTGGATGAGCCAACGCACACCGCCCCCACGGATGCGTCGGCATCCGCGGTGGCAGCCCTGCCTTCAGCGAGTCAGTCCACTGGCTGCAGACTGCCCACCCTGGACCACGCCAGCAGTGGACGAAAGACCGACCGTTCGGGATTACCTTCCTCTCAGCGGCGGTTAGCTGCGACCCTGGATGCCCCTCGGGGAATGGCGGCCGTGCCCCCTGGCCAGGTGCACCTGGGATCCGTGCGAGGTGCGGTGATGTCTGTCCCCGCCGCCTCTCTCCTCGGGCCCCTCTCGGGCCGGGCTCAGGCCACGTCCACTTGCCTTTGGACTGCGGGGTGGTCGTTTCCCTGCGCCCCACCCTCGCCGGATGCCCCTTGGGAGCCCCTCCGCGCGGGGGGTCGGCGATGTCTGCCCCCGCCGCCCCTCCCCCCGGGTCTCCCCCAGGCTGGGTTGCCGACAGGCTTGTATCCTGGTCTCCGGGGCGTTCGTCCCCGCGCCCCAGGGCTGCCCAGGGCCCCCGCTGACAGCGGTGACTTTACTTCACCTTCAGCCTCCAGCGGCGGTTAGCTATGACCCTGGACGCCCGCGTGGAATGACGGATTCGACGGAGACCCTGGATCCCTGCGGGGAATGACGGATTCGGCGGATAAGGCAGCCTGGCGGTGTTCTCTCCCGCCAGCTTGGCCTCGCGCAGCGCTTCAGCCGGCGCCCGCGCAGCTGTGCTTGGGTGGCCCCCATGCAGGTTCGGCGGCTCCTCATGTTGCGCGGATTGATGGCCCCTGGAGGTCGGCCCGCTTCGAATGGTTCAGCCTTCGCAGCCTCGGCCGGCCCCCTGGCCAGTCCCACCCCCAGCCTGCTATTCGACGTTCCTCGGCTGAGCAGCGTAGCTGGCTCGCGCACGCCGTTGGCGCGGCTTGGGCTTGGCGCCCCACTGGCGACGGCCCATCGCTTACCGCGTCAGGGCACTCCGACGGCATGTTGGACACGCAGCCCACAGCTATCGCCCTAGCGCTCCTTCGGGTTTTGCCCCTCGGCACATTTTGAATTCACCAGCATCTTGCCGTGTTGCAAGTGCTCGAGCACCCTGTTCGCCCCCAGCTTGCCGCTCCTCCCGCGCAGTCAGCCGCTGCTGTTTGAGTGGGCCGGCCGGCTTGCGGCGCGTTTAGCTGCTAATTATGCCGCTGTCGTGACCCGTAGCGCTCCTGACTCCGCTTGCGCCTTCGCTAGCGGACGCGACCGCACACGCAACCCCACCAGCCCATCCAGAAGCGATGCCCAGAGGGCAGCACACAGAGGAAGGGTCCCCCAGTGGAGGCCTCTTGGAGCGTCTTGGGGGCCTCTTGGCGGTCCCGGGCGCCTCTTCGAGCGTCTTAGGTGCCTCGGGAAGCTTCTTGGGGCCTCTTGGGGGTCTCCTGGGAGCTTCTTGGAGGCCTCTCGGGGGCCTCCTGGGGCCTCCTGGAGCTTCCTGGGGGCCTTTTTGGGCCCCCCTTGAAGCGCTCTTGGGAGCCTTATTGGGCCAGCTTGGAGCCATCTTGAGGCCTCGAATGGCCATCGGAAGCGAAAAGGCGAGAAAGCCCAAAACATTGATGTTCCGAATGGTTTGAGAACGATGTTGGCCTCTTCGGGGCCTCCTGGGGGGCTCTTTGGCCACTTGGACCCTTTTTGGAGCGGTCTTGGGGCCTTTTGGAGCATCGTTGGAACCATCTTGAGGCATCTTAGGGTAGCTAGTTTGACATCTTGGGCTCCCCCAGGAACTCTTGGAATCATCTTAAGCAGTGCCCCCCCCCCGGAGGTCAGAATGTGGCCAAAACCTTAGTACAATCAATCATTTTGGCGTTCTCGCCGGGGCCTGTTGGAGCGTCTTGGGTGCCTCTGGGAGGCCTCTAGGGGCCTCTTGGGGGTCTCTTGGGAGCCTTTTTGGGGCATCCTGGGGGCCTCTTGGGAGCCTCTTGGGGCCTACTGGCCGCCTCTTGGGGCCCTCTTGGGGCACCCTTAAAAGCCTTGGGAGCGCTCGTGGAGCCATCTCGGAGGAGATCGATCAAAGAAGGGAGATTCCTGAATTAGCGCGTTCCCCCCCCCCCCCCGCAAGAGGCCACAATGGGGCCAAAACCTTAGTAAAACAAGTGAATTTGGCTTCCTCCCTGAGGCCGTTTTGGACGCTCCGACCGCTCGGAGGGGAAGAAGGGGGTGGAAGAGGAAACACCCTAAACCACCTACGCCCTAAAGGGCTGGTGGGATGATGTGTCATTGCTTTCCGCATGGCGCCGCGCGCACGCGCGCGCAATGCGACAAGTTCGGGTCCCAGAATGCACGCGAAGGAATTGATATCCACCATCTAGTTTTTGAGGTGTTGTTGGGATTGTCCCGAAAGCGACGCGCCCAGTTCTTCTCGCCGGCGCGCGCCGCGGCGGCCGCGGCGCCCCGGCCCCGCGGCGCCCCGCCCAGAGCGCGATGCTGCGGCGAGTGGCCAAGTCGAGGATGGCCCCCTCCCACGCGCCAGTGTCGGGGTGTTGGAGATCCCAAGCAGGGACGCGCTGCTCGGTCGTGGCTGGGCGACCAGTCCAGGCGCACTGCCACGGCGCGCGCCGGTCGCGCAAGGAATTGTGTCGGTAGTCCCTGCTGCCCCCGCGCCCGCATTTCCAGGCGTGTCAGCCCTTGGCATCCAGCGTCTCGCCACACAGGGAGCAATCTCGGTTGCGGTGCTGGCGGCGCGGGCCCGTGGCGCAGTCGTCGCAGCGGAGGCACATGCGTAGGTTGGCCAAGAAGTGGGCGTTAGCTGGGGGGGCGTCGTCCTCCTCGCGGTGCAGAAGCGGGCTCCCGCCCCAGGTTTTTTTAAATGTTGTTTCCCTTTAGCCTTTAGCTCTCTCTCTCTCTCTCTCTCTCACGCTTTCTCTCTCTCTCTCTCTCTCTCTCTCTCTCTCTCTGTCTTTCTCGCTCGCTCGCTTTCCTTCTCTCTCTTTCTCTCTCTTCCCCTATCCCACCCTCCTGCTGTTTTCCCTCCCCACATTCCTCCCCTCCCGCCTCGTGCCCCCCCCCTCCCCCCTTCCTGCTGGCGGGGGGCGGCGCACGTGCGCGTGACGTCCGGCAGGATAGGAGTCGCCTCGACTGGAAGACGGTCATCAAGCTCAGCAGGCCAGCGGCGACAGCTGCGGCGGCGACGGCGATGACGACGGCAACAACGGTGGCGGCGGCGAAGGGGAGTGGAGGAGTAGTTGGAGGGGGAGTCGTGGACAATAGAGAAAAGAAGACGCTTTTCTGAAGTGTAAGAAGATAGAAGAACTCAACATAACATAAACCAGCACACTCCGATAATAGTATGAGTAGATGGGGGCGGAGGAGGAGGGGGAGGAGGAGGAGGAGGGGGAGGAGGAGGCAGAGGAGGAGGAGGAGGAGGAGGAGGAGGAGGAGGCAGAGGAGGAGGACGGGGAGCGGGGGAGGACGACGACAGGGCTAACAAGGAGGACGGCGAAGGGTTTGAGGAGGGGGGTGATCAAGGATCAGGGCAGGGCGTCCTGTTTATTCCAGGCCTGGGAGTCCCATCATTCCACAGTTGCCCGTCTTCGACCGCGTTGACTGTTTCCGGGTTGCAGCACAGAGCGTGCAAAAAGAAAGGAAGGCACCCTCGACAGTGGACCTGCCTCGAGCCTGGCTCGGCCCTGTTTCGGGCCGTCGTCGTCGTCGTCGTCGTCGTCGTCGTCGTCGTCGTCGTCGTCGTCGTCGTCGTCGTCGTCGTCGTCGTCGTCATCGTAATCGTAATCGTCGTCGTCGTCGTCGTCTTCGTCGTCGTCGTCGTTGTCGTCGTCGCAGGGCGTGCCGGACACCGGGCGCCGCGTTGCGCAGAGGAAGCCAGCCGGGTTTCGTCGCTGAGCGCTATACGCGGCAGGGTTGGCGGGCGATGCTGCAGCTTTGGCGGCGGGACGTTCTTGGCGCCAGGCGACAGGCGCCGGTGGCGGGGCGGCTGCCAGGGCGCCGGGCGGGGGGCAGCCGTGGCGCGCTGGCCGGCCATAGCAGCAGCAGGCCGCCTGCTGCTGTGGCGCCGGGCGCCTGAGGCCTGGAGGCTGGACGTTTTTTGCTCTCCGTGCAGTCCCTCGCAGGCGCGGCGCCATGGTGGCAGCCCAGCGTGGCGCGGCGAGGAGAAGGAGGAGGAGGAAGAGGAGCGAGGAAGGAGGAAGAAGGGAGGACGGAGGAAGGAGAGAGATGAGGGAGGAAGGAGGAAGGAGGACGAAAGAGAGGAGGAGGGAGAAAAGGAGAGAAGGAGAGGAGGAGGAGGAGGAGGAGGAGGAGGAGGAGGGGGAGGAGGAGGAGAAGGAAGAGGAAAGGAGATAGGGGGAGGAGGGAGAGGAGCAGGAGGTGGAGGAGGAGGAGGAGGAGGAGCAGGAGGAGGAGGAGAGGGAGGAGGCGAAGGAGGGACGAGGCAGAGGAGGAAGGAAGGAGGAGGGAAGAGGAAGGTGGAGAAGGAGCAGAGAGGAGGAGGGGGACGGAGGGAGAAATGGGAGTGCACCGGGGAGGAGGAGGAAGGGAGAGGAAGGAGGAGTGCACGGAGGGGGAAGGGGAAGGGAGGGAGGAAGGGAGAGGGGGGGAGTGCACGAGGGGGAGGAGAGGAGAGGAAGAGGGTCAGGAGAAAAACAGGAGGAGACTTCTAGGACTCGAGAGGTCCAGGTTGAGCGCGCGCGCGTAGGGGCGCGATGTCTGGGCAGAGAAAACGAAGAAGACCTCCGACGACAGCGACGAAGAGGAGCGACGACGGTAAGGACGACAATCGATGCGACGACGACGGACGGACGAAAGAGCGCAGCGACGCGAACGACGACGACGAAGAAGACGATGACGATGACGACGAGGCAGCCCAACGGAGGTCACTAAAGAGAGAATTTCCAACATGACGATCGTTACCATTCCGGACGCATCAACTTCCCCATTTGGTCACAACCCGCCAGAAGGTTGTTCCAAGGCAGAGGAGGAGGAACAAACGGTGAGGATGTGCAGGAATAGGATGGTGGGGAGGAGGAGGAGGAGGAGGAGGGGGAGGAATGGGCTGAGGACAATGGGCATGGAGGGGAAGCGGAATTGCATGATATTGTATACGAGAGGAGAGAGACAGGGGGGACGAGGAAAATGCCGAGGAGGAATACGGGGAGGAGGCGAAGATGATGCGGGGGATGAGAGCGAAGGGGGGCAGACGGACAAGATCAGTCCAGACAAGTGAAGACAAGAAATCTCTCTACACAATTATTGCCTGATAGACGGACGCAGACACACCGTGCAGCCGGCAGCGTCCAGCAGAAGTGATCGTGAGTAGTTGTCCAGATGCGAGTTTCAGATTGACCCAGAGGGTGAGTTGTTTGCCTCGTCATCATTGTCACGATCACCATTGGCATCGCGATCGCAGCACTGTCAACTTTCGAGGAGAAGCTATGGGTTCCCAGACATTCAGTTCTCCCCCCGCGGGAGGCTGGATGAGATCGGCACTTGCTTTGTGCCTGTGCGACGCGTATGTGATATAGATTCAGCTCAACTGAACCCCTGTAGTAGAGCCACAGCCTTGATGTACCCCGACGACTGCCAATCTTTGAAAATTATTTGGTGAGAAGCATAATTGCACGAAAGTGTCTAGAAGTGTGGTGCGTATACTGAGGATACGCGCCTGGAGTAATGTGGAACATTGCGGAAGTTATATGTACATACACATTTGTTTGATTGTCTCCCATCAGAGACATCACTACAACGGCTGCTGCTTCACTTGGACCCCCGTGGATAGTTATCACTAATGCATTTCCAGCTCGGCAGCAAGTTCTGTGATAATCGTTGTATGTGTGGCTACATGGCTATGGTGTTATCGGAATGAAAATAGGACTGGCCGCAGCTTGAACTATAGCTGCACACAGGGACCAGTCTGATAGAGCAATAGCACAACTACACATGAGCAATACAACCGTACTAGACAGTTGCAGCTATGATATATCGAACCCCTAGACAGCCACGGCTCTAATACAGCTCCACGGGTGTTACAATTCCGATTGGTTGTTCTTATGCTACAATCTCCGATCGAACCATGTAGGGCTGCAACCACAATAGAACCACCGTGCAGCCTGCGGCTGCAACGCTGATATATCCACCTTGATATGACGACGACTCTGTTCGAGTGGTGGTTGCACTGGCGGGTGTTCTACTATCCAGTTGCGTTGCCGCGCGATTCTGCCACCGCGCTCGGGCGGGGGGGGGGTGGCGGGGTCAAGTCTGGGAGTGCGTTCGGGAGGGAGGGCGGGAGGGGTGCAGGTGCAATGGGCACCAGGTGCAGCAAATTGCGCTTTTGGGCACATTATCTGCCTGGGATGCCCAAATACAGGAACCTGCCCACAATTAGCCTGGAGAAGGTCCCAATCATATGCAGTTGTGAATCACGCAGTTGGCAAACTTATCTTCGGTGGAGCTCCCCATGGAGCCACGAAACATGTGAGGGAGCGCAGATTTCAATGGCGGGGACGCGTGCGAACACCGCCATTGAGGACTTCGGTGGAGCTCCCTATGGGACCACGAAGCGTGGCGCGGACGCATGTGGGTACCGCCATTGGGGCTTCGATTTCGGTGGAGCTTTCAATAGGGCCACCAAACGTGTGCCCTTCAGTGGACAGCCTTACGCGACAACGAAGCGTGTGATGGGTGTGCCACAATGTGTGGCGGGGACGCATGTGGCCACCGCCAGTGGGGCCATCGGTGGAGCTCCCTATGGGGCCACGAAGCGTGTGAGGGGTGTGCCGAAACGAACGTCGCGGACGCATGTGGGCACCGTTACGGGGCCTTTGGTGGAGCCCCCTATGGGGCCTGAGGGTTGTGCCGAATGGGTGGCGGGGGCGCATATGGGCACAGCCACAGGGGCCTCTGGCGGAGCTCCATATGGGGGCACGAAGCGTGTAATTGGGTGTGCCGAAATGGGTGGCGCGGGCGCATGTGGGTACCGCCATTGGGGCCTTCGATGGACCTCCCTGTGGGGCCACGAAACGTGTGGCGCGTACCGCCACTGGCGCTTTCGGTGGAGCGCCGCGTGTGGCCACGAAGCGTGTGATGGGGTGTGCCGACATGTGTGGCGCGGACGCATGTGGGCACCGCCATTGGGGCCTTCGGTGGCGCGGACGCATGTGGGCACTGCCATTGGGGCTTTCGGTGGAGCTCCCTATGGCACCGCGAAGCGGATGAGGGGTTTGCCGAAATGGGTGGCGCAGGCGCATGTGGGCATTGCCCATTATGGCCTTCCGCGGAGCTCCCTATGGGGGCACGAAGCGTGTGAGGGGTGTGCCGCACTTGGTGGCGCGGACGCAACTGGACACCGCCATGGGGGCCTTCGGTGGAGCCCCCTCATTATGGAGCCACGGAGCGTGTGAGAGGTTTGCCGAAATGTGTGGCGCGGATGTATGTGGGCACCGCCACTTAAGCCTTCGGTGGAGCGCCCCATGGGGCCACGAAGCGTGTGAGGGGTGCACCGACATGGGATAATGATGATGATGCTGATGATGTTGATGACGATGATGATGGTGATGAAGATGAAGATGATGATGACGATGACGATGACGATGACGATGATGATGATGATGATGATGATGATGATGATGATGATGATGATGATGATGATGATGATGATGATGATGATGATGATGATGATGATGATGGGAGGAGGTATGAGGAACAGGAGGAACGAGTTAACGCAGGGCGCTGTCTCTTCAGAACGATGACCCAACACACACAAGATGGTTGGGAACATCGAGCGCATGTTGGGCTCGATGCGTCGGGTGGCTTTTTGCTTCGCACGGGGCAAAAGTGTTTGACACGCTGAAGACATAACGTCCGATCGAACCATAGTAGTCTACGATTGTTGTAGGACCGCTGTGCAGCAACGTTTACACTCTTTCAAATTACGGGGTAAAACATTCATACGTTTTTTTGTGCGGCTGCCTCGTTGATAGGATCCATTCACACGAGAGGTGATGCTGTAGTTGTGCATGGCTATTAGAAACCTGGCGAGCATTGGAAATGGACAAACACACTAGGAGAAGTGTTGTAATATTATTGCGAACCCTGTGCATTTTCAGTTGAGGTATGTTTCTGGTGTGATCCTGCAACACCTTGAGTCCATGCAT